TTTTCTCGCACAAAACAACAGGAGTTGAGATTTACATACGATGACGTCATCAGATCAAATAGACGTATAATATTGGGATCTTTGTTGTGCTAATTTATATGTCAAATTTGATATTATTTACTTATTATATGACGTGTAACATAGTACACAGCAACACAATTGTTTCTGAATAATCGAAGCTTACATCAAATATTAGTAAAATACGGTGAAATCATGATAAAGATACAATATTATTTGTAGACATATATACACGAATAATATTATATATTTATATATTTCTGCGGAAAATATACAGTTATTATTTGCAAACAATGTTATCGTTTTTTATGTATAAGCTATTGGGTAGAATGTTCATGATGTATGTAGAATGCTTTACGTCCCCAGAGCGTTTCTTTTTTCCAAAGAAACAATGCGTTCTGGCGTCTTTAAGGATTCTAAATTAGATTATTTATTTATAGTATCACTGGATTTGTTACGGAGTATGATTCAGACGATGATGTACAGAATACACCGTTCTTATAATACATGCCCTCTAGCGACGAATTGCTTCTATGACGTCAGAGATAAGAATTGACACCATATTGTTTTTACGTGGTTTTAACATTTTGTCATTTTGTAGCGACAAAATGTTGAAACCACGTCAAAAAATATAAAATAACAGAAAATACTGTAAAAATAAAATAAATTCAAACAAAATACTCTCTGTTTAATTAGTTTTGATTGCGGGAGACAGGGACGAGTTTATTTCTTTATATGAGACATTGTCAAGACTAGCTTTACCGATGCTTCAAGAACCGACAGATAACAGACTGCAAAATTGTTAGAAGAGACATTTCAAGGGTCCTTGCTGACTCAGCCTGAGGCTGACAGTGTCTATAAAATGATGGCTTACCATGATAAAACTGCCCATCCCCACCAGTGATGCACAAACGGTTTAAACAGAATTGTTAAAAACAATTTTTCATAATATAATTTGTTATAAGTCTAAGTGGCTGGTATAATTCATTGTGACCAATCCAAAAACGACATGACGACATTATCGCGAATTATAATCAATATTAATGCTAGTTCAATGCATCCAATCAGCAAGCCCTTGCTTTTGAATAATTAGTAGTCTGGGCCAATCATTATTGAATATCTGAATTTGAATAAAAGCTGATGATCGGTATTTACAAATTGCTATAAATGTGTTTATACATTAAGGTACAGCTTTCTGCCCTTCACTGTATATTCAATTTATTTGAATGTTAAAGCGTTAATTGGTTCTTGGAGTTATTTATGTCAACTACTATTTGATGGTTACAATGTGCGTGCCAACATCTGAGGGAGTATGTACAAAACGTTCAATATACAACAATTTCCAGCGCTTCTGAATGTCGGTGGTCGTTTCGATTTCCAATTTTTGATGTGAATTTCATTTTCCTAACGCGTGGATTCACCTCATGATTGCTTGTTTTTCTTATTTAGAAAAGAGTTAATTCGTTCAAATAGGGACATTCTCTATTGCAACGTCTATATCCCTACAAAACTCTACTGTTTATAATACACTCGACTCACAAAATGGTATTGAGCTGTTGGAAACTGAATTGGTGATTATTTTGTCTAAATTAGGTGAAGTTGATGTAATAATTGTTGGCGATTTTAATGCCAGGTCTGGAAGCCAGCCAGATTTGTTTTAAACGATTTTCCAATATATAATGATGATAGTTTCAACATTCCACGTGCCTCTAAAGACACTGTTTTAAATCCGTTTGGGCAGTCACTTGTTTCGTTATGTTGTACGTTCAATCTGCATATGTTGTATGGTAGGTCTGGTGATGCCACTGACATTGGTGATTTTACATGTCTTTCTAGTAATGGTGCTAGTCTTGTCGACTATGTACTAGTTTCGTCACCCTTGTTTTCAAAAACAACAAATTTTTGTATTCGATTGCGCACTGAATCCGACCACATGCCACTCTCATTTAAAATGCCAATTCAATATGGATTACCATCAACCGTTGCTGATGACAACACAGAACATACCAGTAGTTTTACACAATATGTATGGAAGCCAGAAAATTCCAATTCTTTTGTTTAAAATCTAGAAAATGACATGGTTTGATTTGGAGTGTAAACAACTTAAAGCAGAAAAATACAGGTTGTTACGTTTGTTTCGCAACTCATCTAATATGCAAGATTTACATAACTACCATACAATCCGTAACAGGTTAAAAAATATGTGCCGTGATAAATTACGCCATTACTAAACACAATTAAGTTTACGTCTAACTCGTACCCAAGATAAGTCATTTTGGTCAACGCTTAGACAGATAAATTACACTAAAAGTCATGTTACTGGGTCACCAGGGCCATCTATAAATCCCTCAAAAATGAATATTTCAGTACCCCTTTTTCACAAAATGAATCCAATAATGACTTTGCTTTGGCAAATGACCTGGAAAATGTAATCACTAAAGTTGACTATTTTCTTCCAGGTGATATGGAAATCAATTGGGACATCTTGAATGGTCCTATCTCAGATGACGAGATACACGAAAGTCTGAAACATATCAAAAACGGTAAATCAGCAGGTCCAGACAGTCTGATTGGCAAATTCTTCAAAAATGCAGAGGCATTTGTGATCCCCTATCCAAATATTCTTTTTAATTCAATTTTTGATGCCGGAACTTTCCCAATTATCTGGTCAAAAGCGACTATTGTCCCAGTTTACAAAAAAGGCCCGGTTGATGACCCAGGGAATTGTAGGGCAATTTCTTTACTTAGTAATTTTCACCTCTATTTTGAACCGTCGACTTTAATATTGGTCGGAGGCTC